ATTTTATTATTACTAAATATCTATGATTTAATCTTTTTTTAATTCAAGTGTCTTATTTAATGACTAAAAAAGAGGTAGTTGATTAGTAATTTTAACATATGTACCTGCTAATTGTTACAATATTAAGGTTAACAGAATCTATAATTACCTAAAATATCCAATTAAGTACCAAAACGTAGTAACTCATTAAATGACAAATAGCTATAATACAATGTTGAGGATAAATACTATTTCAGTATCTGATCGTTAGGTTTACAGTAATCTTTATTCTTATGCATTTGGATTTATAATATACAAATATGGAATAGCTTTCAAATAAGTTTCAAACACCGTGTGTTATTTGTTCTCGTTGCCTACCTTGGAAGTAATTTTTAAAATTTTGAATAATTTTTAAACTTGGACCCAAGTTAATATTCAAATGCATGGATGATTTTAATTTGTATCCTCAGACCTATTGTGGTTAAATCATCTCTTTCTTAATGTGGTGAACAACAGCCGAAAAGTTAAAACAAAAAAAGACCCTATACTTATGTGAGTTACAAAAAATAGTTTATTTCATTTAAAAATAAAGAGTAAAAAAGAAATGTGTAATTAAACAAGCTATTTCAAAAATTAACTCTCCTTATTTTCTATGAATCTAGTGATAAATTGTTTAATATCATGTNTAAAATATATATATATATATATATATACCCTTATATTACTAAATGTATTACTTTTACAGTACCCATTTTACAAATATAATAAAAGGTTATTTTTAGATACTTAACCTTTTAGTTTTTCTATTACATTTTTCTAGAAAAATCAATAGCTCTATAGTGTATGTAACATAATATGATATAATATGTGGTAATTAATTGAATTTAGTGTATTTATCAAAAAATTAGTTAAATAACAAGATAATAAAAAATGATGTTCACTCTTAACAACCAGCATTCATTTTCTATAGATATTTTTCAATATTGTGGGAGATTATATTTTAGTTATAATTTTACTATAATGGAGATTTTGGATGAAATCATTAGCTGTTCAATATAATTATCAATATACCTCATCTGTGACTGCATTTTGTACTTCTGACCATATTAAATCTGATATAAAGAATTATTTAAATAGTTGTTTACTAGAAGCTATTTTAACCGAAAACTAATTTAACAATATGAAAAATGTTGAAAATCATTTCCTATTTTTTTTATTTGAATATTTTCAAAATATTTGGAAATAAATTAGTGTTCTATGTAAATTGCAAAAATCAGAATTATAGAAATAAAAACTTAAGTAGGTACCTATCAGGATCAACTATAAAAGTAACTATAACAGGATTATATTTACTTTGATTTACTTTATTTACTATTTGACTTTTATTACTTTAGATTTATTTATTTAGTGTAATTATACGCAATATGAATCAAAACTGAAAATATTTGATTCATATACTCCAAAATATTTTTTTCAACAATTCATTTTTTTTTTTTTTTTTTACTAAAGAATCAGAGTTGAAAAAAGTTGAACATATTTAAATAATTAATCTGGGACGCTATGTTACTGTAAATATTAATCAATTTTAAACCAGAGTTTATTGGTTTTAAAATGCTGTTTATTATTTTTTTTGTTTTCTGTGATCAATTTTACAATTCTTCTACCAGAAATTTTCCTTCGATGATTATCAAATGTAGCACTTTTTCCGAAAGAAAATTTGACTAGGGTAGCATACAGGTGGGTGGTCATTTTTTGATTTTCCAGGAGGTTTCATAATAAATAAACATTGGAAAAATAGGAAAATTTACGAAATGTATTATTTCTAAATTGTAGATAAATATAGTTTAATAATTTTGTTTTGACTTTATTATTTTGTAAAAGATTATTTAAAAAAATATTGCTGCAATAACAAAACGACATAAATCAATTTTAAATATTTGCCGTTTTACCAATAGTTTTCTTTTGGGTTTTCCCAGTTATTTTGAAATCCCCTTAGAAAAACAAAAAAATGAAATTTTCAATGCACCAACTAGAGAAAGTTACTTTTCAAAAAAGGTACTGCATTTGATACTTTGGAGATTTCTTGTAGAAAAGTAATTCACAGACAGTAATAATAAAAAAATGAAATAAAAACGCATCGTTGTAAAACCATTAGATACCTTACTACTTTGCTCCGAATCTAAAAAAAATTGTGTTATATAAATAACCCTATTTGTACGAGTTACCAAAAAAAAGTCATTATTGAGCTTATTTGTGTATTTTCTTAATTTTTTCCCCCAGGTGTAAAAATTCCTAGATCCGGTTCTAGGGTATGCCTTTGGCAGATTGACATACCGCCTTGGAAACGTACGTCTTACGATACTCCAGTAATAAAGACCTGAAATAAACACTGTATACAAAGGTTGAAAGGTGGTGGCATTTTGAAATAAATCGTAGCGACAAGTGCCTCTGAACACTGTGTCCACTGTCCACAGTCAAACGTCACCTCTACAATTCGTATAGTGCACGACACACCCACAGTTGTCATGGTGATATCTACTATAATAATGTTACGGTATCCAATGACAACTAGTCCCGGACTTCCAGTTGGTCAACTGTTATCGTTATTCGTTATCACCTCACACCTGTTTGTTTTTTGACGCATACTCGTATTGATTCTTGACTTGTTTAGTTTTACTGAAGCATTGCTGCGATTGTAGGTACCTGAAACCTATTTGAATCTATATAATTATAATGTAAAAAATAACATTTATAAGAAAGCGTATAATTGTTCGTAATTATCGTTATACTAACTATTTGCAATAGAACATAATACTATAATATGGAATGCAATATGCCGCCAGAGGTTTGTTACTTGATTGTACCTACTTGTAGTTTTATTCTTAAGTTTTCATGATTATATTGTGTCAAATTGTTTATAAACTTGCAGGTCATTACGCAAATTCTGCAGTTTGTTTCGTTTGAAGACCGTAAACGTGCACGTTCGGTCAATAGTGTCTGGTATTACGCATCAATACACCCTATGTTTATTAAAAATGAACTATTTATCGTCCAAGATCCCAAGCAAAACGGATATAATGATAAAGAGCAAATGGAATTTTTGAACCTTTACCACCAAATACTTAAAGAATCAAAAAGAAAAATGCTAAACTTAAAATTGCGTGGTTTCAGTACGCTCTATAAATGTTCTTTCATTTTTGAAGGCATAGGTGAAAAAGTTAGGGAAATATATCTTGAAAACATTCTCGTTATGACCAATGCATTGATTGATATCATTACCAGTTGTTCTAATATTAAAAAGTTGGAATTCTCTAATATTAATCGATGGTCTCTGGCTGTGGAGAATCCTAAACCGATACTCAGCCTGAAGGTTCTAGTATATAAACTGGCAACATTACCAAACAATGTATTTAATTTACTAGCATCAATCGCTTCAAATATAGATACTCTAGATTTGGATTATAACGTTTTAGAAAATGAAGTTTATACTCCATATTGCAATGTAAATCAAACTAATGTTATGCAATTTATAAAAAATATCAAAAATTTAACCAATTTAAGAATAAATGATAATTGGTGGATTTTAAACAGATTGCCTAAAAACTTGCAATTAAAAGCTTTAAACATAAATTATCAACGATTTTACATGAATACTATTGAACTATCTCAATTTGAAGCTGTAATACGCAATCATAAATCATTACAACAATTAGAAATTTTAGGCATTCCTTGTTGTCTAATACTAGGTATCCGAAACCTACAATTTCTACAAGAATTGAACTTAACTTATGCTAAATATCATGTACATGTATGCTGTAATAAACAACTGTGTTTTCAAAACTTTCAAAATTCATTTAATAATATGAAATATCTTAAAATATTGTCAGTAACAGCTGAGGTACCGATGCATAAGCCTAAATATTTTAATAGTATACCTCCGATTCCACAACATATAATGAAATCAATTCAATCATTGGACTGCTATTTTAGTCCTGAAATGAGTATTGCAACTTTTGATAATAATCTTACAAGTTTACGAATAAGAAATGGTAACATTTTATCAGTCGAAGATTTTATTATATTATTTAAGGAACTTACAAAATTAACAAGCTTATGGATTGATAGATGTTATAAATTAAATGATGATGTTATTTCAGACTGTTCAATATCTAATCTTAAAGGTAATAAAATATTACACAAATATTAAATACTTATAATATTACTAAACCATAACTATGTTTTAAGGATTAACTACCTTAAAGCTTGATGGAGGAAGGCAAACATACCGATGTTTGCATAATATTAAATTTTCAAATTTGATTACATTGTACATTCACATAGCGCCAGTAGGACTATCTATATTGGTAATATAATTTACATTCAGTTATATATAAAATAATTTTCACATAAGAACATTAATAAAATATTTCATAGTTTGTATCTGTTAAGTTGGTTCCACTTATATTTGTCCAATGTTGCATTTGAAAAATATTGGCAAATATTAATATGTTAATATTTATTAATATAAAATATATATTCTGGTTTGTGATCATGGTTTATACTTTTAATAGTTAAATATGGGCATACAGTTTGTTGGTCATTGGCTCTCAAATGACTGGTACATTTTACAAACTTTTTCAACATTTAAATTCATACCTACTAAATTGTTATAGTTGTCTAGTGGTTAGTCAGTTGCCAATTTTTATGGGAGTTCTATTATAAACATTGTTTTTTCTTTGACTAGTGCATGATTTATTGACAGTCATTGGAAAATGGGTAGTGACCGATAATTGTACTGGTGTACCTTCTCGCATGATTGGTCACTGTCCGTTAGTAACCAACATTTGCAAAATATATCAGCCATATGGGCTTTATGTCACACAACTCATAGTATGCTTAAATATTTTGTTTTCATGCCAGCTTTATATGAAATAATTAGTACTATTGTATTTAAATAAAAAGTACATTGGTTTCATTATATTAATGAATATTACCCGTTTTATGTTATAGGGCCATTTACCTGCCATTGAAAAATCTTTTAAAACACTGGCCAGTTCTAATCCTGTATTGAGTCATTTGACTGTATTTTGTGTCAACAGTGAGTGTAGAATTTTAGACAAAAATATTCTTCTTTCCTATTTTAAATGTTTAAAATACTTTAAAATGTAATTAGTAACTTTTGAAAAGTGTCAAAAACATATAATTAATAATTACCTACTCACCAAAATATGCGTTACATATTATGTAGGCAACCAGATTAGCTTGAAAATTAGGGTTTACTATGATTTATTATATCATACAAATAATGTTTGTGAAGTTGATTTGGTTGCCTATCTAACAAAACATTGGACTTTTAGTAATCATTCTTAATAATACTATATAATATAATTAATTTATATTTCAACAATATAAGTATTTAGATAAATTTATATTATTAATTATGGAAATAATATTCTCGTAGATAGCTTTATAAAATTTGAATTATTTAGTTGACAATAAGTTAGATACAATTATTTACTGTTAACTTCAGTCATTATATGTAATAGTAATCACCTCAACCTGGGGTAGCTGCCCTTAATTTTAATAAAAATAAAGTAAATTAAAAATTACTAAGATAAATATTATATAATATAAATAGTTATATCTAGAAGACTGTTATCTATCTTATAAAATAATGTTTATTCCTATTTTTGTTTTATATTTGTCTGAAATTATAGTATTAAAGTTTATGATTTATATATATATATATGTGTGTGTGTGTGTGTGTGTACTGTGTTATGAAGTATTTAATTTGTATTATTTTTTTCTGCATTAGGAATCTATCTCTAAAATCAAATAAAATACTATAACTTAGTTCCTAAGAAATATTATTATTGTATTATTATTTAATTTATATGAAGTATTTATTTTTTATTTTTTTTTTCTGCATTAGGAACCTACCTCTAAAATCAAATAAAATACTATAACTTAGTTACTAAGAAATATTATTATTGTAATATTATTTATTATTAATGATTAAGAGGTGGCTTGAGGTATTTTTTGTTGATTCGAGTAGTATAAAATAACAACTCATGTAAACAACATTTATTTTTTTTAAATTTGTATACTATTCATTTATTTTATTAAAAAATAAAATAAAATATTCAAAAGTACAACTAAAGTGTACACAATCTAAGTTTAGGAACACATTTTTTACTTATTTTCTTGAGCATTATTATTAAATGTTAAATGTTTCTGATAACTATTGGATATAGGCATGGCTATAGAAATAAATAATTAGAATTTTGTATGAACTTAGTTCATGAAATTTTGCCAACATTTCAATAACCAAAATTATATACAAGCTACTTCTACATTGTTTTAAGATTTTTATTTTTTATTGAACATTAATTTTAAAGTACTTATATCACTAAAATATTTCTATTAATATAAGTCAGAACTTTAGCTTGTTAAACATAATATAAGTTCTACTGATCAAATGTTTATGTGTGTGTGTGTGTGTATTTAGTTTTAATTTTAACGTGTTATTTAGAGAGTTCTGTGATTTTCCAAAGATGTTATAATTAATGAAACATTTGTATTCTAATTGTAGGAATAATTTATATGTTAATTATACTCATACTCATTTAAATCCTTTAATTGTGGAATTATATACTTATATAAGTAGATTTTTTTAATATTTATTTAAATTGTAATCTAATCTCATCAGTGCTCATATTGGGGGAAAAATTGAGAATGCATTCTGATGTTAAAAAAAAACTACAATTTCATAGGAAATAAATTTTACAATAACACAACAATGATAATGTTTCATGGATTCTCTAAACAAGAAAAGTAAATTAAATAATCAGTTTTACTTTAAGAAATAGAAAATCAATAAACATAAAAAAAAAATCCCTACATATCTAATTAAAAATTTACATTTGAAATTGATTAAACAATTAACAGTTTTACTGCACAAATAAAGACAGGCATAAATATTATATAAAATGGTTCTTCATGTTACGATGTTAGTTAAATAAATAAGTTGGCTAAAACAAAGAAAAAAATAAAGAGGACTCCATCTGCCCTTCCTTCAATTTGAGCACTGAATCTTATAGTATTTACTATTTATTAAAATTGTGTTAGAATAATATATTAAATATATTTGAATAGAAATTTAATATTCCAATTGCTGTTTAATTATTTGCATACTATTATATTTTAAATTGTGAAAAGATACTATTTAATTATTAAGTCTTATTGTTAGAGCTACAAATTGAATGCACTAATCAATTACTTTATACGCACTAAAACCGCACAAAATGTGTTCTAAAATTCTTAATATATGCAAAATCATCCACCATTTTTTTTTTTTTAAATATGCAAAACAAATACAGGCCAATTTCTTTATATTGTTACATTGTAAGCCAATGTTTTCCTCATAGTACCTATTTAATACATTCAGTGATGTATTGACTGAACAGTTTTATGGGAAGTAATACTTCAGATGACGGGTTGAAGACAGGAATTAAATGTATATCTGTAGGCAACAATAAACCATTGCTCACGAAAAAACGATTCTGAGAGGAGTTCAGTTGATAATGTTGCTTTGACAACAATATATTTCATATTGTGGTAAAATGATTAAAATGTGTGTTTCAATGACAACATTAATTGTTTAAAAAATAAATAAATCGGTTACCAATGACAACCATATTTTTAATCGTTAAATTTTCTTTAATCTCAAGAAACAAGTTTTCCTCATTATCTCGAAGAGGTATTAATGAGAATTTCAAAAAATAAACTATCTAAAGTATCACCCAAAGAAAATTTCCTTTCAGAAAAGGTGCTATACTTGATAATCAGAGTAAGCTTTCTGGCAGAAAGTATTTACATAAAATAATAAATAAACATTATTGTAAAACCAATATTTTCATAAATTTCTTAAATTTTATATTAGGGTTTCTCAGATATTATGAAAATTGAAAAATTACCTCCCTAAAGTACCATTAAGACAATATTTCCTTTCAGAAAATGTGCCACACTCATCTACATATCAAAGCAAGATTTCAGGTAGAATTTTTTGTCATAGTATGGAAAAAAAAAAATAAACATCAATGTAAAACCAATACATTTTTTGCTACACTTAGAATCTAAAATAATATAATAATATTCTATTTTATATATAATATAAACATTTAAATAAAACTCATACCTACATTATTTTTTTTATATTACCCATTTTATGTAAAAGGAATTAGATACCTAATTTTCTGTAATAGTTTTCATTTTTTTTTTTTTTATAAATAAAATTACAAGTTATAAAAGTTTTATGAAAAATGTATGTCTTAAAGGAATTACTAAAAAGGTATAAAACAACATTTTTAAATATGTATAAATGTATATACTTGAGAATTATAACGCGGTTGAACGGGGTGTGATAATTTTAATTTATCTAAGTTTCATACAATTTTTTTTTTTACTTCATTGTTTTTCTATGGTAGTTTATAATTGATATAAAAAGCGTCAAAATTCGTGAATTAATAAAGGAACATTTATAACAGTACAAAGAAGCAAATCAGAATGCTTAAGTATACTCTGCCTCCCCCCAATTTATGGGTTACCTTGACAACATGAATGAAATAAACAGTTATTAAGTAAATTTGTTTTCACAAGCAAGAAAATAGCTTTTAAAAAAAATTAATTACCGGGCAAAAACAGAAATTATTATAGCGACAGAATAAAAATAGGGATTTACTTGGAAACAGTTTTTTAATGTGTTTGAGTAGCTTATATAATTCATCTATGGTGGTCAAAGCTGCACAGGAGAACTAGTTAGGTATAATAAAATATAGAATTTGGTATAATACATGTTATATAATTTAAACACCAAGTTCTACAGTATAGTATATGTATTTAACAATTACACTGTACATCATACCCGCATAATATTTGCATTATAGAAAATTAATAATAAGACAAATTTGTATTATTGACAATTTTTTAACTCATCATATATTAAAATTTCAAATCCTTATCCATAACTACAAATGACGGAACTAAAGTTTCATTGAATTCTGCAGGGTTCAAATAATCCTGTTCAGATACTGAGTCAAGAGTATCATCTAATATACTTGCTATTAAATTAGATGATTTTAAAATGGGAAGTCGGCCAACATTTTCAAAAACCTTTTTCTCCATAGCATAACGTAGAGGCATATGCATACCTTGAGTAACCATCAATCCTTTTTTTAATGTTCTAGTTTCTTTTTCTTTGTACTAAAAAACCAAAATTATAAAAATTAATTAACATAAAATGAATTTGAAATAGTTTATTTAAAATATTTTCCATTAAAAAAAAACAAAACATTTTATGCTACAAATTTTAACTATCAAAAAAAATGTATGTTTATTTGGACGGTGTTTGTGCATAAGGGTTCAAGTACAAAAACTTTTACACTAAGAACAATATTGACTTGAGTACTTTCTCATAAACTAAATTTAATTAGGTGAAACTACCTATTGTTCCAACTAGTGGTACCAGTAGAAGCGGCACAAAATTGCATACAAAACGTTAATATAAAATATAAAACAATTTGACTTGATCCCTTTTGCACAAATACTGTCCATTTATAGAGATGATTTTGGAATTTTGACAGTTAAATGTGCTATAGAAACAAAAGGGTAAATTAGATATCAACAAGCTCATTACTAATATTGTAGGGATAGCTTATTACCCAATGAAAATAATAAAATATTTACTTCAATGTTATATTGAAACATCTACTTTTACTGAAATATAAATGTTTTTTAAAAAATCTAAAAATAACATATTATTTTAAATATAAAAATATTGGTTAGTATGCCGAACCACCCTAAAAGGGTTTGACATAATATTTCATAAATACACCCACCAATCAACAATTTAAGCGGCATTAAAATTATGGCTTAATTGTACATTTTTTATTGTATACGTTGTAATATTTTCTATTATTATTGTTGATATTACAACCTTAGTGACAGCCTTAAAGGTAAAAAATTGGTGATCAACAAAACTATTATGTACCCGTATAACCCAAAAGCATACACATGTTAAAAACAGACATATTTCGCATGATGGGTGGGCCATTATTGTAGGTGAGAAGTTGGGAAGGTAGAAGGGAAATTTAATGTATATCTGTACACATTTATTAATCATTGCTAATGAAAAATAATACTGAGCGAAGTTTGGTTACACATAATTTAAAAGACCGTAATATATATGATTTGAAAATAATACATTTCGTAATTTGTTTACGTTTTTTTCTTATTTATTAAGAAAATCCCTGGAAAAATAAACATAATCTCCCACAGGTACCACCTCAGTCAAATTTCCTTTGAGAAAAGATGTTACGCTAGAAAATCGGAACAAAATTTCTTATGGAAAAGTTGTTCATAAAAAAAAAAAAAAATAAACATCACTGTAAAAATATACATTATTATTTTTGATAGTTTACATGAGAATATTTTGTAAATTAAAAACAAAACTTTTGATTAAAAATAAGACTATTTAGTTCCTATTTCCAATACTCGCACAAACACTTTTTCTCTTATTCACCAATCATCTGAATCATATGGTTCATCAATGAAAATGCATCCTCTTTATAGTCAGTTTTAGAATGTATCCATTCAAATTGAACATTTGTAATGAGTTAAGTCTTGAAAATTACTATTTACCTATGTAAATTATTGCAGCTTTGAATAAAAATTAAGTTGACATAGCTAAACAGTAATATTGGATAAAAAGTAAGCTTAATATAAATACATCTAATCTACACCGAATACAATAAAAAAAAAAGTGTATGACATTCAAGTATACAATTCATGAATTGTAAAATTACAATTAGTTGTACTGATTTAAATTATATCAGATATAACTAGGGTAGAGTTTTGGGATATCAGAGTTAATAGTTTATTTGAATACTTACATTTATCAAATTTTGTTGAACTGGATGATAAGCTTCTTTAAAATTCTTTGGTCTAGCGGTATGAGCACTAAAAATATAATTTGATATGGATATTAGTTATGCACAAATTTTAAAAATGTATGATTTTACTCACCCTAAGATAGCAAAATTCCCAAGAGAATTATCAACAAAATCCTAAAATCAAACAATTAATTAATAGACTTGTCATATGTCATACAAAATAATTGTAGGTTTATTCAAAAATAAAAGACTTACCATGTTGTAAGTTTCGTGTAGTTCCTTTATATAAATTTATATAAAGATAAAAGAAAACGCAAAATTATAAAACAAGAGAACACTAATGATATGGATTACTTTGCAGTTTTTGTATTACAAACAATTTATGAAATAACAATTTTGATAACCTGAAAAATTGATAGGATTATATCAGTGTGGCCATATTAGGGACTACACTACTTTTCCCAGAAATTAAACAATTTGTATTGTAATACTTGTTTTTTATTAAATAGACACCATTTTATCCAATACAACCCGTTCATATACAATATAAATAATAAAATTAATAAAAAATGTTTAGGCTATTCCTATTGTTTCAACTACGGCTGTAGATATGCATATCTAGATTTTTATTTCTATGAACGTGATTTCAACGTAAGCTGCTGCGTTAATAATTTTATCATCACCACTAATATTATTGTTTATACTTTATAAAATGATTTATTTTAAAAATATTATAATGGTCCATTATTTTCATTTTTGATTATTATAGCGTGTATGTTGTTTGCACGCATACATTTTGCAAAGAAAAAGTTTTCACTAATTATAAATGATTTTATAAAACTTAACATTGCATTTATTAATAGTTCTGTTACAAATATTATTGAAAATTAAACTTAAATTTAGGATTTTGTAATATAATTTTGATAAATGATATTACTTAGTTTTGATAATTACAGTTTTTTGAAAACGAGGGGAATCAGAACACGGAAGAAAAAGTGTATTCATGGAATAAGAAAAAAAAGACACTTTAGGAAAACGTTTTCGGGAACGTGTGATAAGGCAAAATGCTGGATTAGGCCACGACCAAAGACTCATTATTAACTTTAGTTAATATGTCCATGGCTCAGAGGCGACGCGAAAACCAAATGAACGGCGGGAAATCGTTGTCAAAGCTCGTTATTTGTTCATTTTTCAAAAGCGTTTTTTCTTTGTGTTATTTTTTATAACACTTTAGCCGTGGTTTGGCCACCATAAAAAAAGAGAACTTGCATTGTGCAACGTTATTTTATTTCTCGACATCACTATTACGAAATAAGTCGAATTTAAGTTTCTTTTTATGGTAAAAATTTGGTTTCTTAATTCAATCTATAGCTCGCTCAAGTGTAGTTAGGGTGACCAGACGTCCTCTTTTACGAGGACTTGTGCTCTTTTTATGGATGTTCTCGTTCGTCCGGGGTTTTTTTTTTTTTTAAAACGCCATAATGTCCTCTTTTTTACACGTAGGCATTGTGTTTTTCTATGTTATAGGTTCACATTGCTAGGGTAGATAAGTAAATAAATTCTGATTATAGGTGATAATGCGATATTGTAATAAGATTTATCTATGGATTTAGAAGGACTTTGCTTATTACTATTATTAGAACCATTCAAAGACAGAATATTTTATGGACTACAAAAAATACAAGATGTAAAGCCGGTATTACACTGGATCGACAATAACTGTCGTGTCGAACGTGTTGTCGATTTGTAGATTAATTATTACATACGTTCGACATTTGTAAAAACTCATTTCTTTATTTTCCCGGACCAACATCATCAGTCGAATTCCGGCAGTCGTGCAGTGTAGTTAAATTAATTTAATTAATTATTAGTGTGAATATTTTGACTGGTAAATATCAATCGATGTATACAAATGTCATTAGGTAATTTGATTTAAATGTGAAATCATTTTAAGTATGTTAAAATTTTTAAAATCAAATTAAATAGTATTTAGAAAATTATTAAAAAAGTATTCATACAATTCAAAGAGCATTATTTTCCAAAACTTTGATGAACAATCAACAGTGATTTTTTTTATAAATCCCGCTTATACTGTAGCTGGACACAATTTACTATTTACCGGTGGCGTATCCAAGGGGGGAGGGCAAACGAAATTTTAAATTTGGGTAAAAATTCAAAAACACACTTGGTTATCACCTTGATAAAAATTCTAGCTACGCCCTTACTATTTACAGATACACGGTGATACAGACAATTTTTTCCAATTAAATATAATAAATTTGTATTCATGGTCAATGTCAATTAATAATTTTACCTCCTACGCATGGTGCCACTACACGCGGTTGTCGATTTAGTTTCCTTTGATGTTTACCGACGTTTTGTCAACTGAGATTTCTGTCGATCGACACGATAGTCGAACGGAATTCGGTAGCAGATGTCGAATCAACGTGTCGATCCAGTATAATACCGACTTAAAGATGTTTTTATATTAAGTATTTATCAATACTCTCTCATGATATAATATAATCATGTATATTGTACTTTAAGCGCTTATCACAAAATTAAAGCGAACCGCGATGATGTCAGATGTACTGCCCATTCATATAGTAAGCCCGATCCACAATTAAGAGGGTTCCTTCTCACCGTGTCGTCTCGTTTCGTGTGAAATACTCTTTTCCGATTGGCGGCTTATATTGTCTTGGTAGATACATTTTGATCGTGTCTACCAAGACGTTATCGCGGACACCGCTGAGTTGAATAAATTCAACTTTTGGACGTGCTGGTTATAGCCACTGGTAATGTCATTTTCTTGTTTTCATTTTAATAATACGTTAAATTAATATTACAATTTTCATTTTCGACTCCGAGCGTATCGAGGGAACAATTGGTTTTACAAAGATATTCTTTCTTTTTTTTTCTCTCCTAGTCTGTGTACACGTTTTTTCCTAGTAAACTTGCTCCGATTTTTAAGTGTGGCAACTTTTCTGAAAGCTCAAGTTGTCTTGATTTGCGACGCCATTTTTCAAATAAAAGCAATTAAGTGGACAAAAACGTAGGAAAACGTATAATTTCACGATTTCATTATTTTATAAAACACTGACGATGTTCTCTACCAGAAAAAATGATTTTTTCGAAAAATCACAAGACACTTATTTTGTTGACTTTTTAATTTAATTTATTACGGTCTCATCACCAAAACTTTTAAGCTTTATGGAATTTTAATTTTAGAGAGTTTTTGCTGTAATTAGGTTATAAATACACTTAAATACTTGCAACTTGGTAATAATAATTATATTGGACTTATCTAAACTTGGTAAAATTTCTAAAATCATCGGAAGACCTTTTTTTTTTTTAATAAACGTTTTGAAATCAAATTTAAAAGAAAATTGCAAAAAAAAAATTACGGCACGTGAAATTATATATTACCGGACTGTTTGATAACTGTTGCTTACAGTTATAAATGAAATAACCTTATGTATCCTACCTTCTTAACTTCTCACATACAACAGTGGCTGCTCACATCCCCAGTATTAGGTTTTTTTTAAAAATAATTTTATTTAAAATTAATATTCAATTTTAATACTAGTTTAAATTCAATATGAACTTTGCAAAGGTAGATAATATATTTTGTTATGTAATCGTAAAATGTAAATTTTTTTAACCACAGATATGCATTTTATGCAAACAGTTTGTTGTATTGAACATTTCACAATGTACTTTTTTATGATATAAAATCATAAACTAGTAATAGTAAGTACAATATCAATATATGGAAATTAATTTGATCTATTTAAATTATTATTAAAATGTGTAGTGTTTGTACAGGGCTAAAATAAATGAATTGGATCTATTTACATGACAAGAACTTTTTGTTTTGACCTGAACTGCAAGTCTAAGGGCCTAGAAAACATTGTAGGGACATTTGAAATGTCTAGCTATTTCTTCCCCCCTTCCCACACATTTAGTGACATTATAATCATTATACACATGTTATTTGGTAATGGATTATTTAATACAAGACACAGTGGATAAACAAAATATTAATTAAATAAATTTAATTTACTCATTAAAACCAGGATTGATAGACGACTTTTGGTTTTTTGGAATACTATCCAAGTACAAAATAGGTTTATTCAAGTCACAATTGGTTAATAAGTGATCTTTTGATATATCTGATTCTTCTCCACATATACCATTACAGTTAACCATTTTTAAGGATTTGTCAAAGCATATTCTTATTTCAAGTAACATTTGTTGCTTTGTATCCTATAAGAAATAATTTATATTGAAATACATCTCTAAACCATAGAGGTATAGATGTTATTATAATTTTTTTATAGTAAAACTAAAAAAAATATGTATACTTTAAAACTATAGTTGTTTAACTTACACTCTTAAATGCACATTCAATCCATGCATTTGTTTTTAAAACCGATTCTATGGCCTTCCAATAATCAGTTACAAGAGATGTAGTATCATTCACTTTTATATCACCTTTTTCTAAAATGTCTTTCATATTGTACATTTCAGACCATTTAATTCCTTGATTGAAATATTCAAACTCTGAGTTTAAGGATGGAAGAGTTAGGGCACAGGTACCATGTTTTTCCCATTCATGAAACCAAATACTTTCTTTTTTATGAGATATGGTGTTTTTTGAAATATTTACTTCAGTTTCATTATTAAGTTGCTCAATATCTACCCAATATTCATGTATTTGTTCTTCAATACTATAAAGAGCTTTAGGATCAAATGAAATAGATTTGTTACAAAACGCAGGTCCTATTGTTCCTAGTTTCGTAGGCCTAAAAAAATATTAAATAAAAGTCCAATTGTAGATTAACACTTATTTAAAAATGAATCTGGAGGTGAATTTAAAAATTGGTGAATTTTTTTTTAAATTATTATTATTGAACAAATTAGCTTCAATGACAAAGGTTTTAATCATGAAAATTTCACATATTATTATTTTTTCCAAGCCATTTATATTACTTTCAAATTTTAATTTATTATCAATATTAGCCAAAAATTGGTTTATGATAGGGATCTAAATACACTTAAAATATTTATTGGCATATTACTTATTCTTAATTTTAATTGTATAATGTTTGTCACTGAATTCCCATACACATTTTTATACTTAAATTATCTCTTATAAAAACCATTATACCATCATTTTGATTTTGTTTAATTGTTGAAAAATATAATTTGTAATCAGAAATCCTATAATTACATTTTACCACAGTATGTTTCAGTTAACACAATAATGTCCAATTTAGAATAGTTATTTTCCCCTATTTATGTATAGAATAAATTCATCAAAATGAGTGTTAACACTACTAATAGTACAACAAAAAACATTTAAAAATGTATTATAAACAAATATATAACTATCTATAAATTCAAAAAAATTAGTTTTGTAATTCAGATAACTATTTAATATATTGGTGTTATTCATCATACAAAGAAAATTTATGTAAACAGACAATTATAAACAATTGTTTTAAGTTTACAAAGGTTTGAATAGATCAAGATTATTATGTATTATATATGCTTTAGAGTTTTCATCTTTTTTTTTTTTATAAACATCTTTATATCTTTGAACCGTACAAATTTAAATTCATTAGCTTTAGCAAGCATTCTAAAGTATAAAATAAATCTCTTTTTATAAATATATTTCCATTTCCTCAGTTTTCACTCCAATTATATGTATTTAATTTCTTTTTCTTATCAAACTCTAATAAGTTTTGTTTGTTTTCTAACAAGTATAACTTTGCAATAATTGTTCACGGTTTATCAATTTATCGAGTCCGATTATCTCCACATTGTTTATAATTTATTTTTGCTCCAGAACATTCATTTTTTAGTTAAATTTCTGACATCAACATACAATTACAATTATTTTCTTTTAGTTTTTTTATTTTCCTCTTTTAAACCTTTAATAGAATTAAATATCTCATTTAGTTGTTTACCAATTATATTAAACTAATTGCTCATGAGTTGTACAGATTCAATTAAGTTAGTTAACACTTCATTTGAGCTAACAAAAGACAACCCATCTTGTGTAATATTTAAGTTACTAACCATTGTTCTCTTTTATTATACGTAGTACTATCTTTCCGTATTTTTCAGAAATTAGCTTCTCTCAAGCTAGCACAAAAGAAATGCAAATATTTCTTACACTTTATACATCGTGTATCACCATTTTCAAAAATATCATTGTTACAAAATGGACTCAGCATATTAAAAGAATAAAAGTACACACTTAATTAAATATTAGATGAAAGAGCGAATAATAGAATAATTATTGACAAAACCTTATACTTTGAATGCGGAACAATCACTGATGTATATTATATGTGTAATTTTTTTCCATTTATGTTTTTTGGTCTAGGGCTTGTTTTTCCTAATATCATTTAAAATTATATACCTACCTACCTAATATGTTATTTAAAAATATCTGTTGTGTTACAAACCATAAGCCATGAACAGTCCACAAATTCTTTTGCTTAGGAAAGTTACATGTATGGTGAGGATTGTTTTCTTCCCACGTATAACACAATGTTTGTGGCCAAGTTTGTGTAAATATTATAAGGTCCCAACTATTTGGTTCCTCAGGTGGGTGAGAATTTTTCATAGACAATCTGCAAAATAAAAATATTTATATAGGTACCTACCTAATCATTGCAAATTTAAATATTAAAAAAATACATTACCCCAAATATAATGTGCCAAGACCAAATGTTAAAATTGTTCCATAAAGCAGTGCTTTTCTTTTACTCATTTCCATCTTAAGTCAACTAAATAAAAATAAATACCTAATTGTCAAAGTCAAATTATGAACTACAGGGAAAATTGAGGTTAACTTGGGGCATACAATTTTTTTGAGGACTTAAAATATATGTGTTACAATTTTAGTTTTTTTTCCTTTTGTTTTTCCCCCGGGATATAATACTACCATACTGAATACCGATGATAAATACTTATAGTATAATTATATAGATCTAGGTATAAAATATATTAATTTCGAGAAATCACAAAGAATTTAAAACAAATCACAGCTACACTAATAATTAAAAGAATAAGGGGAAAATTGATAAAGATAACACATGCGTCTAGGGACAGAAAGTCGAATGGAATTTAAACGGTGGATTATTATCATTAATTTACATTTAGATAAGAAAATACACAATCACTTTGATAACAACTTAATCATATTATTTATCGCATAAATATTATTTTACGTGATAGTCTCTTGATATTATGTTATAGTAATATAATCAGGGCCGGATTTAGGAATGTGGGGGCCCTGGGCCCACATTAGAAGTATATATTTTCGATAACATATATTTAATATTTTAATATATTATTAAAACTTTATAAGTGAATTTAATTTAATAACAGGTGAACATTATGAACATATGAACATTTACCGAAAAACGTTTGTTGTGTATACCAACCCTATTATACCCGTATAGTGTGGCGGTCCGTGGCGCACACAAAATATGTATTTTATTTTATTTAATTTATTAATTCAACAAAAAAAATTAACGCATTACCATATAACCATGAGCCGCCACTGAAATTTAGTAGATATTCAATAATATAAAATAATTAATAACATAAAATAATAATAAATCTAAAAAATGCTCATATAATTATTCAGTGAATGTTTCAATCGGGTAGGAATATTATTTTAAAAATAACAATTAAAAAATAAAAATTAACTAATATCGTCGGAACAATAAATTTAATAGTGAGAAATAATACATTAAACTAACCTGGATAATTATCACGTTCTAAATAGTACTCGTGTGGACGTACGGTCGAAGACGAATAAAGAGGGTACTCGCTACTCACTGCACTCGTCTATATCACATTAATGTTAAATATAATCTTTATCTACGTTATTGCATGTTTTTATATAAAATCTATTCGGCACGTGTTTATCAACAACAGCGGTCGGGCGGCTTGCTATACAAGTAATATGTGTTTATTTATAACTGATTGTCTCAAAATTTAAAACCATACCAAATTAGAAATATAATTTAGTTGGCCTTATCGCTTATCCTACTCTACGAGTCATAATAATCTATTTTAAATTCCTTAAATAATTTCACTATATAAAATATGATTGAACAATATTATTCGATTTAAATTTATTTTGCAAACATACATTATGTATTACACTTGGATGCAAAAAAGTCCCATTAAGTGGGGGGCCCTCATTTTGTGGAGGCCCCCTGGGCCCCCCCCCCTTAATCCGGCCCTGAATATAATATATATCATATAAATACAAAATACAATTTCAGTTAAACTAATTAACGAAAAATATTACACAAATAAAAAAAAAAATTCCTTGTTCACTCGGATTCTAAAATCAACTGTCAGGTTAATTGTATTGTATAATAATAAAAAAAATATGATTTAGTCAGTTCGACTGAATCTATAAATGAAAAATATTACATATATAAAATTAAAAATCAATTGTTTGTCAACTTAATAAATATTTTAATGTTTAAAAAATGTATAAATAGGTGTGAACAATTAAGTATTATTTTTTTAATATTAATAATGTACTGATATGATTTTTCTCTGTTTTGCTTGGTATTTCTAATAATTTGTTTACTTTTTTTTGTTTTCTTGGTAGAGTATAACCGGCGTTGTGTGATGATTTTGTTTGTTTGTTGGTAATACCTGTAAAGTGTTTCTTTTTAAAGTTGATGTATTTGTATTTGAATTTGAATGTATTTGAATTTCTTATAGCTGTTAATGTAGGTATTATTGGTAAAAAATATTGTTTCAAAATATTTCATTCTTCAAAGGTAGATATTTTATTCAACACTGTATTAAAAGACTCTTGAAGTTTCCTATTTTCCAGTTCTACAGATTTTTGATTTGTAATGGCAGAGTTATTTAATTGAGATACAATATTGGAAGATTCGTTGTCGTGCTCATGATCTATTTCCTGAATGAATAATACATCTGTGTTTCGAGCGCTTTGTAGTTCACAGCTAAACTATTTGTTGACGTTCTATTATTTTCTTGGTTTTTTATATTTTGTTGAAATTGGCAAACTAAATGAATATGTTTACACATATTTCATTTAATTGCATTATCTATACATGTGTTTTTTCCTTTATGAATTACAACTAATCTATCAATAGATCGATCTCGAATAAACTTCATCAAAGCATACAAAGACTTATCAAGGCGCTTCACTATTTTTCTTTGTATTGTTAAATATGTTTTTAAGTTCGATGCATTCTTTCTATATACATGTTAGTGTTAATTCCATCATAAATTCGATGACAGTATGTATGCTCATGATTGAACCCAATTGTCATAATGGCTTACAAAATAATTAGCAAATTCACATGTTTTTTCATCAACTGACATTTGACTAATTGCACTTTCAAATATTTGTTCAAATACTTTAGCATCTTGTTCATGTAACAAAGTCCTTATAATTGCTAACAGATATAAATCAAGTACCTCTAAGTATCCTACATTCCAAACTTCCCACTCATAACAGTCACACATCTGTCTTCAGTATCAAATGCCCGGCTTCTAAATATTTAATTTAAAAATATTTTTGTTGGGTCAAAGTGTGGTTGCGAAAACGAATGAATATAGGTACTTCATTACAGAAATAAAAACTTACGCTAACTATAATTTTGGATATGAAATGGGCTGTGTTAAGTTATTGGGACCTCTAGACATTTATTTTGACCGACTACGTTTTTAAGACGGGGGCCACTATAAGTACCTACTATAACAAGGTTAATAAAAGTAATTATTTCTTATTCCTACGTACTGTGTAATATAATTTCTCTCGTTAAATATTTGTTCAACGAAATAATCGTTAAAAAGAGATATTATTATAATAAATAATAATAACACAATTTAATATCCGCTCTCGGAAATCAATAAATTATAATATCACGCTGACATTTGCTCATCAAAATAATAAATATTCCAGTGACGCTTAAGATAAAATAGTTAAAATAACGGAAAGTATTACACCCCGGGGCGTAATAAGAATAGTTTAGACTTTAGCTGATGACCATGTACAAGTATATATAAACGCCTCTCTTTATTTTTTTTTTTTTTTTTTAAAGCTCGAGGGACGCATTTTATTGTTGACGTTAGAAACTTATATAGGTACACGAGTATAAAATATTATGTGTTTTGTATTAATTTTGCAAAACCGATTTATTATTGTTAGTATATTATAGGTAGCTAGTAGGTACAGATATTATTAAGTTTAGATTGTTTGGTTTCAGAATATTATTATTGTATTGATTGAAATATTTCAATATTGTTTGATGTATAGTTAAAACGCACAATTAATTTAAAAAAAAAAAATAAGATATTTAATTTGACTAAGGTATTTAATAGTTTATTTATATAACACTCAGCAGAGTAATATTTTGCTTACTGTGCGTCACTAGAAAATAAATGATAAACGATTAGTATACTTTGTAAAAAAAAAAAATATTTTATTTTATTTTGGAAACACATTCATTGATGGTAGGGAGGGATAAGAGGGGCGTCTTCGGGTCAATTCCATGGAGGGGGGAACAATTTTTACTCTTAAATATCACTGCTTTGGTCAACAAAAACTACCTATATGTTTGATGTCATATCAAATTAATATTAGTTTAGAAAACTGTAGATATATTATACAAATGCTGTAAAACAGTACAATTAAAATGTTAAATTAATTTTTTCCATATTAAACAAATAAATATAATAATGATAATATGAATAACAAAAAAAATAAATAATTAATAAAAGTTAAAGATGACAAAGCCAAAAATACTTTTATTTGAAGCAGCGGTTTGCAATCGGTTTGATCAACAATATTTTCTAAATTAATATATTTATTACGATGAATATTTAAAAGTGCTAAGCCAGTTAGTCTACTTAAAATTGTTTTTGACTACAAGGCATGACTTTTAATGAACCTCATGTTAAATTTTCAAATATTTCTGTTTGGTCTACAATTTTATCCTCAGAGTACCTATCGAATAAACATTACGTACAAAACTCGCAAAAATACCATGTCTAGAAAAAGCAAATACCTATAAGTTTTACGTCCAAATTTCAAGTCTCTTAGAATATTTTTGACTGAATTACAACAAAAAACAAAATTAAAAATAATAAAAGCATTATTTTCGTAAATTTTTCAGTTTTTCTTACGTTTTATCCTGGGTTTTCCTGATATTATGAAAACTGCGTGGAAAATCGAAAAATTACCTTCCTAAAGTAGGTACCATCTAGACTAATGGTACTCAAACTTTTTTGTATGACAACACCCTAATTTAGATCCATAAAAATTATGACACATTTAAAACAATAGAATTAATGAAATTAAAATGACACACAACACTCACAACACTAATTACGACTACGGACATGCTTATTTACGTATCTACGCGTAATACCAATTTCCTTGTTTTTCTTATCTGTGGGTTTTAACATACCGTAATAATAATTCCACGTGTTTATACTTTGGTAATGTACAGTATTATAAAATATAAACAACTTTTGGCGACACATATTACAGTAATACGTGACACCAGTTGAAAATCACTGATCTTGATAATATTTTTTTTTTAAAAAAGATGCTACACTTCCATATCGAATCAAGATTTCGATGAGTTTTATCTAAAAAATATTGTAAATTAATAACTTAAAAAGACGTCCTAAAGTAATGGGGATGGGCGCAGCCACTGTTATAGGTAATTTATTGTATACTTGTAAGCAACGATAAACCATTGCTTACGGAAACACGATTCTGAGCGGAGTTTAGTTGAAAGTGACTCTTTGTAAACAATATATACGCCTTATATATATAATAGGTTTTCTTTAATAATATTTGTTTAATGTTGTACTGATTTCCCCAGTTTTCCTCCGTTTTTTCGGTTTTTAACATTTGTGAAGAAAACTCCGGGGAGAATCGAAAAATGATCTCATTAAAGTACTTCCCCATTGAAATTTTCTTTCAGAAAAATTGCTATCATCATAAATTGGTGCAAAACTGCTGGTAGAAAAGTTGTCCACAGAAAAAAAAAAATAAACATCATTCGCTCCACTCAGAATCTAAAATTACAATTTGTTACTATGCAGATATTATATTTTTCTTATAACCTTATGCATTACTAATGTTCTTTTATTATATTTTCTCATGATTATTCCTGACGTGTATCACATAGGCAACCATAATATTTGTTTAGTGGATACATAATATTGTTATTCTAAAGCAGATATCTAAAGGCGCAATTATAGGCAACTATAATAACATTGAGTGTCGTGTATTAATTTTCATATAGGTATTATAATATTTGACATTTTGAATTTAACATTTTGAAGTAGAATTAATTTGATTTATTGGATTAGATGGAAGAATTAAATAATAAATTAATTTACCATTTTATATACTGACTTTTGCCCTTAAGATAATAAATTATTTTTGAAATATTACAATTTACTTTTTAATCAAATATGACGTTTAATATACATAATTTATGAGATTAATTTTGCTGAAATCGTTATTTAATATTATATAATATTGTAATATATCAAAATGATTACAGCGTGTATAAATTGTAACGTAAATTACAAAACAATATTTGTTTTGCTTTTTTTACAAATACTTATATTATATTTACATCTTACCAGACGTTTCACTGATTCGAATTGTGAATAACTTTTAATTGTATTGTTGATTGTATAATTTATTTTACTATATTAAACACACATTCACTAATTGGGAGTTTAACAGTGGCTTGCTAGTTTCGCTTAACTTCAGAATTTATAATCATAAATGTCATGTATTTATTTTAAATTCACACAGTATGAATAATACTCGTAAATACAATGGTGTATTTAAAATGAGTTTTAAGCACGGCCAAGTATCTAAATAATTATAGTTTTATAGTGATTTTTAACAATATTTAAAACTAAAATTGTATATACATTTTTGAAACTTTTTTCGACTCTTTTTACGGTCCAAAACTATAATCACAGAAAAAAATATCAAATATATACTTGATAAAAATATAATATAGGTAATAAGGATTGTTCAGATTTTGGTGTAACTACAGGTTTAATAGTTTAATAATAAAAATAAAATAATCGATACATTCGAACTTCCAAATATACTTTTTTGCATTAGATTTTGTTAAATTAATTAACCGCTTCATCCGAGCTCTTCCTATTGTATCTCGTTTCATAGGTTCGTAAAATTTGAAAATTTTCTCTTCAGCATGTTCGATTTATTTGGTTTAACTTTCGAAATTATTGGGGGTAAAAAATGGTACCGTATGATCCTTTAATTATAAAAAAAAAAATTTCGTTAAAAATTATATATTAATGTTGTAATAATATTGTTTCATAAATAACCTTGTCTATAAAACATATTACATATTAACATATTTTGTTACTATAATGATGATGTATAATGTACATACTATATATGATATGATAATTGATAATAAATTGTAGTTAGTGCATTTTTTCGTAATAATTTTTAACACTTTTGTATTTTTTGTTTTGTGTCGTTTTTTTTTTCAATTGAGTGTTTTTATCAACAATTACGGATAATGTAATTTGTTCGTGAAGTTTGATTTTCAGCAATAGAATTATTATCATTTTAATTATTATCATAGTAATCGAATAAAGAGATGCACGATGACTTATATTTCGTTAGCCCCATAGTTGTTAATTTTCCGACATTAGTTTCGAGTATCATTTTTGCATGGTTTACGACCATTGTAAGTGCGTCAACGGGGATGACATGATTGGTTGGGTTTCCCATTCTAATTGATTTCTTAACACTAGCCACTAGATACGACTAGATCATTGCTGTAGTTTTATCCTTTGGCAGCAGAACTTTCTCGTATAATATTTATCTCCGTATAATTTCTTGTCGGATGATCAAAACTTCTACCATCAACGTCTTCGAGTGCTATGGATTCGTCGAGTCACGCTATTAACAAAAAAAAAAAAAAAAAAATATCAGCCGTAACATTCGTTTATCGTGTACAGTGATTTGGAAATGACTCTCCCGTTACGTTTATCCCGATTTGATCGATCAGTCGGGAATTTCCAACATGTCCGTGGCGATTTCAGTTGTCCGGACTAATTCATTTGTCGAATCATCTATTTTCTCGGTGATGTTCATTCGATTTCGTTCGACGCAGTCACCGGTGCTGGAGTCACAAAACCTACACTAATTCCGCCGTACGTCTGCAATATTATATGCACATTTTCATTATGGTTACTGATAGTTTGTCATGGATCTCCTCTACAGTAGTACAATTCTGTCGGTGGAATTTTGTCTGAGTGGTTATCAAACGAAAAGTTTTCATGACAGTCACGTGATTTCTCTTCAAAAATATAATCCACGCTCTTGTTTGAACAGACAACCGATGTCGTTTTCTTTAAAGTGATTGTTTGGAACAATATTGTTCGTCACCATCCAGCCGTATTGTGTTCGACGACGCATCTGAATATTCGTACGGTTTATTGAATTTTTAAGGTCTTCTTCAGGTCCATTACCATTTTGAGTGCGATCCATTACATATTCGAACTTAATCAATAATTATTTTATCGTTCTATCGATGATACTATTATTTGTGGTCTCTGTTTTATTGGGTTTTATTTTCATTACATTATTCGAGCCCCATTAAATTATGATCACATTATTTATACAAACGGTAATAACTAATATTATTTGAATAGTCAAATTGTCAAATTGTTTTAAATTATAAGTGGAGTGAAGGAGCTTATGGTTTAACAATGATATTTATTTTGTTTTTATCTGTGA